CTGAGCAAGGGATTTAAATTTGACTTAATCAACTGTTGAATTTTGTGTTGTGGTTACTAGGTCTCACAGATATTCGCTGGCTATTTTGGACTCAAATTTTCAGCTAGTTGGTGCTATTAATGGAAAAGTGAACAGATTTAAAATTGTCTATGAAAATCTAATTAATAAGATACACAATACTGGAATGGGAACATATTAAGTATGTGTCTGCACTGAGTTGTTGCATATTGTTTGAACTCTTGAAATGTGAGCCTCTAATTTAAGGATTTATTTGATTATAACTAAGATTAACAGCTCTCTCAAATTTAAATAGTGACTGCTGTAATGTTATCATATAAACTCTGTGATCCCTGATGCTCCATATCTAGCATCTCTAATCCAACATTGTTTAAATGATTATATACCTCAAGTGTCCAAAGGTTGATCATGATTAAAATGAACAGGAGCCAGTAAAAAGGAAACTGAAACACACCTTGTTGCATAAAAAAAATGGGATGCAATAGAAAGTCCAGCTGCTATGTACTTTGCTGTACAGAGAAATGTTTAATCTAGTTTTATGGAAACAGTGTTGAAGGTTCAACAGGTGTTAGAAGGTCATTGTAAAGTTTAACTGAGTTATGGCTCCTCTTGAAAAGATTTTCATTTGCAGCTCTAGTTACATAAAGAGACCATTTTTTCCCTTCATGTTTGAGTTTTAATTAAGATGACTCAGCTAAATGTATCTGTCAGCGAGTGCATGCACTGCACTGTAGCTGAGAAGATTGAATAACAGTGCCTCCAGTCTGAACTCCGTGTTGCACCCTAGAGAGGGGAACAATAAGATGTTTCTCGCCGGGCTCGGTTCGGGTCGAGTTGGGTGATGTTACACGAAAGCCTGTTGAGTGCCAGCTAAATGAATTGGGCCCATGCTTGTGGACAATTCTCGTTTTATCCTGCTGTCCCTCTCCACAGCTCCTGTACCACAATGCACTGCACTTCACGGGTACAGTTCCCACGGTACAGTGGGCATCCTGGGACAGACGGTGTTGTAAGTGGTGTAAGAGAGCACCAGTGTGTTTTCACCTGAGTGTTTGCCCAGCAGCTTAGCATGCAAGGGAACTGATTTAATGATAGCTAGAGAACAGAGGAGAGGAACTCTGAGAGGAAAAAAGCAGACAAAAACACCTTTAAAAAATGGTCTTATGGGATTCGAAAGCATTGTAAAGCTTTTGCAAAGAAATGACCTTTTTCAGCAAGCTGTTGTGGAAATGTCCTTGACAAAGAAGATGTGAAATTGCAGCAGAGGAAGTTTAGCCAGACGCAGACAAAGAGAGAAAGGTCACAACTTTTGTCACTCAACATAAGTTAATACTTTGAAGCTAATTTTCCTTGAGGCAATTTCGCAAGCATTATAAATCCTTTCTAGGAACACAAATCAGTCCGTCAAGAGTAAGAAAAATAAAATTGCATGATTCAACTTGAGTTGATTTGAAATATGTTTGAATGTTCTGTTCTTTCGGGGTCACATGAAAATGAGGGGAGTGTTTCATATGAGCAGTACCACAAAAGGGATCCAGATGTGTTAGTGAGTTTTTTGTATGGCTGCTGTTTTTATATAACAGAGGAAGGATCAGACTATTACCACAAGATGCCCTGCATATGTTTTTAATGACAGCTCTGACGTCCAAAAATGCTTTTCAGTCTTATCAAGAAAGTTTGATCAGATGCTGGTTTGCTTCTTTATCTGATTGAATCCTCTACAGTTCTAAAAATGCAAATACTTTAATGTTGTGTTGGCCTATTTTGTGTAATAAAGAACAGATCTTGGAGTTTGTCCTCTGTTTTCTGAAAGGCCCCTCTCCTCTGGCCACTGGAGGGCAATCCCTAGCTTCAAAGTTCACACTGGTTGGACTGGACCAGTGGACAGACATCAGCAGGACAAAAAGTTTAAACACCGGGATGTGAGATGTTTGTTCAGCACCTGTGAGAGTTTTTGCTGGTTATGAGGCATGCTAAAAATCCATACTGATGTCTGTATATGACCTGCAGCCTTTGGTGACACTTTCAATGTTCACACTAAATGAGAAGTTTGAGAGGCAAGATGAGATTTTTCATCGGACAAAGGAAAAAAAAAACAACTTACAACACATTCACAGGACATATAGCTTTGCCCTCAGGGGGCGCCAAAATCCACACAAACCAAAAGTTGCTGACAGGAGCTTTAATGAGTAAGTTGTGTTTCCTATCATCAACTTTAAAACTGAAAGAGAACTACAGTTGTCATTTTCATCAGTTTCACAGTTTCTGAAGGTTTATGATGTTAGAGTTAAAACAGTTTTTATCTGTGTTTGTAACTTATTCTCACCCTGCACACATCAAAAACTAAACAGAGACAAAGTTACAGTGTCCGGTAACCTTATCAGCATGCAGACAGAGGGACATTTGCTTCCTTTCTACTATGCCAAGTTATAAAGTAATCTATTCAGAAAGAGTGACAAATCAACAAGGCGTGATAGTGACATTGAAATGATGTGTTGAAATGAACCAACTCGTCACAACATTTAATCCCTTATTTACTGGCGAGGTTAACAGTCCTGTGGTTTTCTGAGCTGGACACACTGTGAGTAGCTAAATCTGTAGCAGAGCGTGTCACAGTTTCTGGGTTTGTACAGTAAGTGATACTCCACTCAGAGTCTTTCTTTTGATGTGTAAATCGTTTATGTAAAACTGTGTAGTTACCAGCGTCATGGAGGGTTTCAGAGGCAGTGGTTACACTAAAGTTATTACAAAATGGAAAAAAATAAACTTATCCTTTAGCAGCAGGATGTTCCTCCACAGTGTCCATTTGTGCTTTCAGAAAGATCCAACAGGTCAGATGTTTAGCCAAAGAAAAGTTTCTCTTTTGTTTCAGTCCTTATGCTTGAACTTCTTAACCTTGAACTTTTTGAACTCGTAGATAAATGAATAGATTGACTGTGTTGATACAGGAAGCGTAACAACATTTATCCACGTCATACATCACGCCACTGACACATATTCTCAAATTGGCTTTAAGATCAACATAACTTTATAGTCTTATCAGGTATAAGTAGGTGATAATACCTGACAAAGTATTCTCAGACACAAAGCTGATGTTGTTGCTTGTTAGCTCAAACTGTGTCCCTGTTACTAATTATAGATCGAGGCTGATACACGCTGCCAGCGCTTTTCTTTTTTAGAACAGTAAACAGACAGTTTACCAGAATCACCACATAAGAGTCCAAATAAAAGGAACTGTGACACCCTTCAGCCAACCGGAGACTAGTATTGACTCCAGCCGTCATATCAGTATTTGAACAAGAAACATGTGCTGTAAAGTCCTCTGGGGAACCAAAACAATTCCTGAAAATTATCAATGATGAGTCATTTTAACCTTTTTTTGTTTGTTTGTTTAGAAATCGTATTAACACTTGACTTTTAGAAGAACCACACAAAGTGCATCATTTTTATATCAACTAATACAATAAACAGCAGAATGCAGGAACAATTAAGAAAAGCATTCTAGAAATGCAAATCACAGTCAGTATACAGGCCTGTGTTTCTCAGTATAAGCATTCCAGCAAATGTTATGGAAAGTTTTTCAGATGTCCTGGAGATAGATCAACAAACTAACAGGTGCAAAAACAAGAGCGCCTCAGAGTGAGGAAATAAAAGATTCAACAAGCCCGCCCACATCTTTTTATCGAAAGTGAGCCTCCAAGTTCCCTTGACAAAACCAAGTTCATTTCAGTCAAATAAACATGAAAACATTCAATTATAAAAGACTTGATACAGCTGTGAAATCTAGTAACGTCACGATTGAGAGATAGTCGCAGTTTGTCTTTATCTTAAGAGTTGTACGTCCCGTCTCTGCAGTGTGCTGTTTGAACTGCGACAAGTCAAACATCTGTGGTGAAGATTATTGTCCATCTCTCCACCATGTAATCTCACCAGGCTTATTTTGACTTTGTTGCTGACGTAGGTTGCCTTGTGGAGACAGCTGCTCCGTCGAACTTTTCACAGAGGGGTTATCAACGTGATGTGCAGTTTATTTGTAAAGACCCTGGATCTGTACAGCAAGTCCAGAGCAGCTTAGTGTTGTACGCAAAGATGTAATGAATTTAATGCAAACAGTCTGATACAGAATGATAAGAAAGAGGAAAACTGTTTAGAAAAAGAGGAGGTAGAGTTTTTGCGACTATTTATCATTTAATCAACCATCTCAGTAAAACTTCGAATTAATTTAAACCATTAATAAATAATTTTTTTAGTTTAGGGTCTTTTTCAACATAACATGGTGTTTATTTTGTAAACTGTGATCCCATCTAGAGTAAAATATACAACAGGGCAGAGTGTTTATGTGAAGTATGTATGTGACTGAAAAGTTGTTACCCTCCAGACCAGTGAGAACAGAGGCAAAGTACTTTGTATCTACCCTCGTTCCCAAATATTGTCACCTCAGGCTTTAAAAAGCAGCACGGTGACAGCCATAATGTCAAACTTAGGTCGTCCACACAGTACTTCATATAATGACGGTTGAGGATACCATGGAAACCGCCACTTCCTCTAAACAGACTATGATCACGAACGCTTTAAAGACAATGATTTCATTTTATTGTTGGTAACACAAGATTAAACCTGAAAGTTACTACCAAACTTTGACCTGTTTTTACAAACCTGCTCTAAAGCACTGAAGCTGTAACAAGCTCAGAGTTGAAGAGCAGAAAACACGAAAACAACAAACAATGAATGTTAATCGGATTTTGTTAGGGGATAGAGCATAGATATTTTTTTTCTGAAACTTTATGAAACATGTTTAAAAGTAGATTACAGGTTTTCTTGACTGAACTTTCTTTGACAAAAACACCCTCCTCTTGATTCTTGTAACATTAACTTTTATCCCGAGCCTGTTGTTCATCCTGAAGATCCACTCAGACGAGGAATACACCCAACCCCTACACATTAGGTTAGCTTGTAAGTTGTTGGTAATATTACAAGAATTTCAAAGCTTTTTTTTTTTTAACATGTCATTTTTGTCAAACTTTTATTTGTCATCAAAGATTATTTTTCTTTTAAATAAACACACTGAAATGACTCTATGGTGACTTAATTGGGGTGGAATTAGCTCAGGAGATAGAGCAGTCGTCCAACAACTGGGAAGTTGGAAGTTCTATCCCTAGTCTGTCCGTTGTGTCCTTGGGGAAGACACTAATGCTGCGTTAGAGTTACCTCAGAAGTCAGATGTTGGAGCTGAAAATGTCGTCACACCTGAGTTACCAAGTCAGAAAAAGGATAAGATGGCCACATCTACGACGATTATTTTAGCGCTTGCCTTGTCCTTGTTATATTCAGACAAAGCAAGCGCTAAAATAACATTCGTAGATGTAGCCATCTTGTTTCTGCCACCGATTTTGCTTTTTTCTGACTTGCTAACTGAAATGCTGGTAACTCTTCCAGTGTGTGTCTTCCACTGGTGTATGATTGTGAGTGATGTCTGGTGGGGGTCAGATGAGCCATTGGCGCAGATTGGCAGTCTACCCCAGGGCAGCTGTGACTACCATGGTAGTTTACCACCACCAGGCTGTGACTGTGTGAGCATAAAAACAATGACAGAGAAGTCTCTAACAGTTGACTCTAACAAACAGTGAGCGTGGTCTAGACCTGCTCTTTTTCTTTGGAAAGTGTCTTGGGATAACAACTGCTGTGAATTGGCGAAATATAAACAAAATCTGATTGAATTTGAACAGTTCATGCTATAACAGGCAAGAATGGGACAACATCTCACTTTTAGATCTCTGGAAGCTGTTCTCTCTTCAGTTCCCAATTGTTTGCACTGCTATGTTAAAACAAAAGGTAATGCATCGCAATGGGAAACAACTTTCCCATCTTTTTGTAAAACTTGTTGCAGGTACCAGGTTTAAAATTAGGGTTGAATGTTTGTAATAGCCTGTGCTGTCACTGCTCAGACTTTTTTACTTCAGAGCTCTCGACTCTGGTCCTCTTTCTTTTATAGATTCTGATGCATGTTTGTCCTGCATCAAAGAGGACCAGACCTGCGTCTGTCCAATCAGTGGTGTCACAGCTGTCTGTTGTACTCCTACTGCTTCATGACCTCACTTAGACCTCAACACTCCACGATGGTGATCCTATTACACCGAAGAGGTCGCAGACAAACGTCAAGAACACGGCCTTATGGGAAAATGCGTCATCTTCATCGGCTGTGCTTTGATTACTGTCCTCGGATTAAAGGGAATGTCAGCGTGTTGACAATCCCTGGAGTTGCGACACAGCAGTTTTTATTCTTTAGACCTCCTTCAGTCATTTACTCATTTGTTTGTGTGTGTATCTGTATGTGTGTGCATGCATGTGTGTATGTGTTGGATGTTCTAAGGCAAATAAAGGATTTGTTGGGATTAGGCCTTGCAGCAGACTAATAGCAGTAGGAAACTTGGTGTGGCACCATCAGATACATGATCGCAGCTTAATCTTACAGGAGCTCAGGGTGTGTGTGTGGGGTGGGGGTGGAGAGGGTGCTGCTTTCGTGTAATCATTGTTGAATCTCTGGGTCAGAGGGAGACCCAAGTGTTTAGCGAGTGATTTGCTCTCTGGTGATGTGCAGGGTGATGTAGGAACAAAAGGTGGAGTGAGCCGCATGCGTGCATTGGCATGCCAGCATATACATGTGTACTTGTGTGTGAGAGTGTGTGTGCTTTTGTCTGTCTGAGATGGTTCTCTCACCCAAACACACTGTCGGTAATTATGCAACACAGCAGCACCGGTCTGCCTCAGGGATCTGAATCAGTGCTTGATGGGAACAAAGATTAGAGACTGAGTTTGTGTGATTTTCACAACAAAAAGAGTGATGTCACACTGACATTTATCATAGCTTATATAGACTCATCATTTTCCAATAGATGTACTATGTTTTAGATGTACAAAGTAAAGGATATGTTTTTAAAATTTTATGTAAACGGTCTAACATTCGATTACATATATGGTTTAACACAGTACTGACAACTCACCACGGTAAAGAAGACATTGATGAGACTTTTCTTAACCTAGTTTTATTAAATGTCGAAATTTAGACTGTTTTACCAGAATATCAACTTCCAGTGTTTGAAATGTCTCCAACATAATAGTCATATTTAGCAATAAAAAATAAACTACAGCGAAATACATCTTTTGCGTAAATCACATTTCCACTTTCACCAGAAAATTACTTTGCAGAGATAATGCCACGACAAACCTTTCTCCCCTATAACAGAAAAGCGTGTCCTCTTAGTTGTGCTCCTTTAGTACAGTCATGTGAGTTTTCAGGACGCACAGGACTGTTGCATTATTGCAACTTGCAGTGCAACTTGCTGATGCACAGCAGGTATCCTCATATAGTCTCTGTAAGTCTCTTATCTACAGAGCAAGCAGACAGGCAGATGTTATCAAAGTTTTCCATCCTTCATATCAAGTCTACATGACCTGATTGCTGAGGTGGAGAGTGTAAATCACGTAGTCATTATCTGACCTGACACCTAAGCTAACAATGCTTTCATATACAGTAGATAGAAGACCCTAAGAATAGTATGCAATAACACAGCAAACCGCAGTCTACTAGATAACAACTTCAAAACTAGTTCATTGGCTGGTTCGCATGACATCTTTATCAATACAGAGAACCATAGACCAGAATACTCTGATTGTCATTGTTACGGTAGATGGAACTATTGAAATGCAATCAGACTGAGACATTATGGTAGAAAAACTACTGCATCTGCAGTGCAAAATGATTAATATGGTGATTATTACTTCAAGGAAATGATAAAGAAATGATCATAAATGTTCTTCCTTGAGCTGCGTCCCCCCGCAGCAATCCATAATTGACTGGCCCGAGGTCTTGCTAAAAAACAAGCGGCTGCTGGAATAGAGTAGGTGAGTTGTGTTTAGTCTCTTTGCTAAAGAAATTAGGCAAAGTTAAAAAGATTTTTGATGGCTAATGCTATGGCTGGGACCCTGTGTGTACTGTTGATGAAGTTAGGTGCTGTTCTGAGCATTATTTGTGGCTATAGAGTGGTGTTTTGGTTGAGGTCTGTTTACGGCTCCTCAGACCACCTTGTATGCTGTCGTGCGGTCGCTACTAAAGTTGGTATAACTAGAGAAGCAAGCAGTAGGCAACATTCATCTCTCGAGGGGGTGTCTAACTCGGTGTTATGGTGTGTTCGACCCTAAATCAATTTTACGCTGGAATATCCCTTTAAGTAGGAGCTTCACACACATGCACACACACTTACCTCTTTGCTTGTTATGCTGAGACAGAGGGGCAACAAATCTGGCTCTGAAAAATGGGTATGACAATGCTAAAATGTTGATTTGTATCGCCTATTTCAACCCTGTGTCATGTAATCCAACCATCTATATACAAACAGTCTGCGTTGCGACGGAAAATCCACATAGGCCGCATAGTACATTTGCTGTCTGTGAGCCAAAACCAAAAGAACTGTCTAAGACTTCTCTTGGAAACGAATCTCTTTCATAGCAACAGAGGCTGTTACACAACTGTTTTCAAAGACGCAGAAACCGTAAACCCCACCCTGCTATTGGTGAACCAGCATTCATGTTAAAGCCTCTACTTAAACTGTACAGAAGTGAAACTCTTACTGAATTTGGGCATAAACTCAAGAGGGAATAAACTGACAGAAACTGGAGGAGTGATTGGTGGGAAATTGCTTGGCTGTGATCATTATGTAATAATGAAGTTATGGTCATCATGTGAGCATTGTCTTTTATGTCTCACACAGGAGTAATTACAGCACAAAGCATGTTATTTAGGGTTGTGTAAACATGAGTGGTTGAGGAGATGACAGTTATGTGAGGGAGTTCAAACTCCAGCTGCCTTACACAGAGGGTCAGTGTGTTTTTCATGCCTAATCATGTGTGCGTAAAGTCTGTTGCTCATATGTTGTAGCTCATACACACACTCTCTCTCTCTCTCTCTCTCTCTCTCTTTCTCTCTCTCTCTCACATGCATGGAGCCTATACCTCCGAGAGATTGCATAATCCCAGTGTGGGTCAACATCGCCGGTACAAGACCAGATGTAAACACGGGAGCAGTGCGGGTCATTATTCAAAATATTTTAACTTCTGTGTTTGTTGCAGGTTTGATTTTATCACCTGTTGACACCACAGGGTTATGTAAGGTGTGAGATACTCAGCAGGATAATCCCCCCCACACACACACACCTTTCCATTTTGGGATTAACAGTTTAATGTATCTTTAAGGTATGATCTGACAGGAAGGATCAGATATCTGTTTGACTAACAGGGAGGATCCCGGTACATCTGTCGCCGTATAGTCTGTAATTATCACAAAGAATGAGAAATGTGAGGGAGTTTGTTTTTCCTTGGAAAAAGCTGATCACTAATACAGAGGTGTGTATGCAAAGTGAAGTTTAAGTTTGTTCATTATTTATGATACTCAAATCAAAAACTAAATTAAAGAAGGTAAGTTATAACTTTGATTTTTCTCTATATTTTCTATGTATTTTGGCGTCTATGTCACCTATCTGTACTACAATTTTGGATTTATTTCAGCCAATCATCTTCATCGACATCTGTGAAACAGTCATGTCTGTAGTCGTCTTAATTAGGTTACTAGCACTCAACTCTACATCCACTTATGGAGTGTGTTTGGCCACTTACAGGCTTAATGTAGTGATTCTTAGTGTTACAGCCATATAGTAAGAATATTTAAAAAGTAATTGATATCACTAATCAACATGAGAACATCCAACTTTCTACGACAAAAGCAACTGTAAAAGATGGGAGCTTCACCGGTCTTAGTGAAGGATGTGGTTCTTTTTTGCTGACAAATTATAAGAACAACTAAAATTTTACCTGAAGTTGGTGCCTGAGGAAAGTTAGGCTATAATCAACATGTGACAAATCATCAAAACATGAATATTAGAGACCAAACGAAGTTTAATGGCAGTCAGTTATTATTGATTACTTATAATGACTTTCTTATTGCTGTTTTTTTAAACTAAATTGGGGGAGTAGATGGTAGATTATGCAACAAATCCTTAACAAAAAATATATTTGCACTGTTATTGAGAAAAACTTACTTCCGGTTTATGGAACTTAGAGTATACATCCTTTTGCAGATGATAAATGTTTGCACTCAATTTAATGACAAACCATTAATATTTGTTGTATAAAATTGTTGTTTTTTCTGCCTTGATTGACACAGGAATAACCTCCTAAAATGTCCCCATGTTTGTGTTTTTATCTCATACATCTGGTGGGTGTTTACAGCTATATAGCATGCCCTGTGGAGGTATGCTCAAATAACTCCCATAGTTTACAGCCAAGTATATTTACAATAATGCTCATAACCCAGCCAGTGCAAAGCTACACAACAAAAACATCTCTGTCCTCTGAGATGCTCTTCTGCAGTTGCCTCATCTCTGGACAGGATGTTGCTCCACTTTTCATGGGCTCAGTATCTCTTCAGGCTGCTGTCACAGCTTATGTGCTCAGTAACTTTATTATTTCCTAACCCTCAAGACCATCCTGAGATGGAGACCAACTTTCCTTGCCACAGGCAGAAGTAAATTATGAAATGAAATCCCTGGTGTCGCTTTTGCCATTGAGAATTAATTAGCTGCTGTCATGGTTCGCTGTTGTTGTTTTTAAAGAGCTTGCATTGCAGTATTTTAAAGCACCTAAAAGGAACTTTTTGTCTGTGTTGATTATGGCGCCCCCTGTGAACAAAGTGGTTAGATAGATAGATAGATAGATAGATAGATAGATAGATAGATAGATAGATAGATAGATAGATAGATAGATAGATAGATAGATAGATAGATAGATGTACTTTATTGATCCCAAACTGGGAAATTCTCTAGGTTGCACTTTTCTTGTTGCTGCTTTTGTTGAATCCCTGTTAAAAGGGTTTTAATTGACAAAAAAATCTCCTTCTACTTTCCCTTTAATGAATATATGGTCTGGGAAAAGTTACGTAAGTTGTTTCTTCAGCGTATCTACTCCCTCTCAGCAGTAGCAGACTTTAAAAATTAGCATAAAAAAATTGTAAGTCTTGGTCATATTTGCTTTTTTACCTCACAGAGATGCATCATTGTCCTTTTGAGTCTGTTTCATAATCACTGGAGCTTTAATTAATAGTCTAAGTAATTAAATGATTTCTTACCACCATGTTTGATTTGCTGTGTTATAATCTACAACATGACGACTCATAAACTTACTGTAGACAGACAGTTAGATTGATTGCTTGGGGTAATAAACAGAATAATAAAAGCTGTGAATGTGGAACAATTAAATCACCATGGAACAAACCTCTACTAACACAATACACTGGCTTCTCAGCGTTTATAGCATTTAATCCCTTTACCATTAGAAAGTCACCTCACCTGCTTCTCTGGCTCACCCAGTCATCTGGTCACCTTATATAACATTAACCTGTTTTATCTGCATGTGGAGCCAAAACAAACAGAATCAAGATCAAATTAATATAATCCCTTTAATTTCCATCTCACTATAATGAGCCTTATCTAGAACAAGGCCAGGCAAACTGAATAATTGAATTTGATGAAGAAGAAAAACTTTGACAACGTGGATTGTTCCTGTTTCTCTAACGTTAATGAGCTTACTTGGTAAACACACCAGAGTACAGCCCAGCTTGAAGTAGCAAGAGTGTGTGGCACTGCGCAACATGTGTGCATGTGTGTCTGTGCGTGTGTTTAAAGAGAGGTGAAAATCAGGTCACAATGAATCCTGGAAGAATAAGCATTCCCTTTGTTATGCCTGTAAACAATAGTATGAGGTGTTCAATAGGAAAATGACAAACAGGCTTCTCCTGTCTTAACTGGTCAGGACTAGAAGCACATGGATGACTGAACAAAGAGTGTTTTACTCTTTTACTCTCTGTCCTGCTGCAGATCTCTGGCTCTTAGGAAGTTCACATAGACCACAACCGTCCATTGACTTATAAAGATGTCAGTCCCGTCTTAATCCCAACGGGACATGCAACGTTTTTTCTGTGAATGGAGGTGAAAAGGTGTACTCCTAGGAACACTAGCATGTACTTTTTAGGTACATGTTACAAGTTCCTGAAACACTATTGAAGTCTACTTTAATGAACACTTCCTATATTTTTTTGTTTGTTGTTGTTGCCTGGTTTCACAGTTGTTATGGTAGCAGTTATCACTGTTCACTTTAGTAACAGTAACAGTAGTAACAGTAACACATATTTCCCAGAGCCAAGATAGCTTAGTTTAGGGTAAGTTTGCAGTAGTTTTGTTTTACGCCACGCATTGTCAGTGTAGCACTATCTTGCTATTTGCTTCTGCTACAGTTCAAAATACAAAGATATCAGATTTTTCAAGGAATCATAAACATTGAACCTTACAATGTACTGTCTACTGTAATTTTATTTAAAGCCCCTGTAGGGAGTTTTTGATTAGATGGCTGTCAAGAGGAGGGGATCTGTGACATCCTGAATGATCTTCATGTTGAGAAACATGCTGCAAATGCTCATACAATCCAAATTCGAAGACACATGCTCAAGTGCAGAGCAAACGCCATGATAAAAATAAACTGCTAATATTAGAAATTAAAAGGTGCAAACTCTCCAAATACCTCGTAAATTTAAAGTCAAAAACACACAAAAATGACAACTGCAAAAGTAAAATGTTACAATTTTAGAACTTTGAATGATGTGCTTTCGACCTGTAGAGTAAACAGAGAAGAGCAAACACGTCACCCATAGTTTACAAAGAAAAGCAGCAAATTTTAATACCAGGGAGTAACGTTACCATGGCTGTAGCTGGGGATGGCGGTTCTGCCTACTGGTTAAACCACACATCCAATGAACACAGGCTATAGTCATCTAGTGGGTGGGTTTGATTCCAACCTGCATCTCCTTTCCTTTGCATCACTCCCCACTCTTTCTCCCTCTCTGTGTTTCTGCTCTGTCCGCTGTCCTATCATTTCATAATGAATGCATAAAAAATACAGTAAAACTCAAAGAAAAATGGGTCATGGAGTACCATGACACATGGAGCCTGTTCCTGCTTGTCATCCCCATCAGTTTAACCCTCCTTTCGGCAATACTTTTTTCTCAGTGTAGAAGTACCAACTGTAACCTTGGTAACTCAAGAAAGAGAAATCTGCCATACTGAATATATGTGTGCGTGATCCTAAGATATGGATATGAGTGTCCTACATTTAAACAGTACTAGATAAAATGTCATATTGACCTAACCAAGGGTGTTTATGGAGTGACTCACTGCAATTTAAACTCAACAGGTTTGGTAAGTCAACAAATGTGGTGAGTGTGGAGATGAGTCATATTATCCCTGTAGCAGTGGCTGTTATACTAATAGTTACAGATATTTGCGGCAGGAAACAATCAACTTGATGATTAGTTTAGGAGTGAACCATTAAGGCGTTGACCAGGCTTGGTGAGCTTAGAAAAATGACACCTTTGTCTAAATATAGACGTGAAACCACAGCTTATTTATCAACTGGATGATTGTCAAGTGTGTACACACGAATAACAAGGATGTCATCAATAGCTGCCGGAGATCTTATATATGAGTAAGAAGATAGGATGACAGGACAATTTCCAAGTGAGTTACTAATAATTCTGACACAGCTTTGACAACCGATAACGCTAATATGACAGCAGAAAAACATCTGCTGTGGTATATTGGTATATCGCTGAAATACATGTTACTTAACGTACCACAGAAACAAACTGAACTCCATGTATTATCAAGGAACAAAGCACATTAATACAAAAGTACAACCTAAACATTCAAAATCCAAATTGAATTCACCGCGAAAGACTCTCGAATGCCTTAATCAACCACAGCTGAACATCGAGAGCCCCTTTCTAACGGTACTTCTGTTGTAGAAGTTTTCACAAGTGTCTGCACCCAAGTTTTTTTCCACACATGTCCCTCACAAAACAAACTTTTCCATGTCAGATGAGAGGAGAGGAGAAAGGGTTGTGCTCTTCGGAGGCAAGGTATAATCCTGCACCACTCGTACGATGTAAGTGTCATCACTTCCTCCCACTCACTGGTTGCTCACTCACTGCTGTGGAAATTTTCCCTCGGGCACTGGCAGGAAAGTGTCTCGAGAAATAAAAGGGGGGGAAATCTGTCCGTGTTCACACCTGCAGCCCAGCCAGAAAAATCCAAGTTTTCAGGAGTTTTGTTTTTATGTGAACAATTAATTTTCCTCCTTTTATAAGTCACAATCAGACGAGTATTGTACCTTTATGTGTGCGTCTGTGTACCACACATCTAATTTTCTTTTGTAAGCCACCTTTGAGAAGCGGTGCAAAGCCTTTAGGATAAACACTGCTATTTTTATTTCGCAGCCGTATGAAACGTGTTCACCCAATGATCAGATTGCAGCATCAGTTCTATCTGACTGGTGTTACACAGATATCTTGTCAGGATACACTTTTGGCAACCTCTCAAACAGATCCTCCTTACAGCTGAGGACAAGTGCATCAGATGGTCTGTAAACAGAGCTGGACAGATGACAGTGTGGAGCTGGGACTGAACAGGCACATGTTTGGGCAGGCCTTGTTTGCACAGCTCATTATATAAGATGATATCAGGTACTGAGTAAGCAAATTTCACCTCCTTTTGTTCTGTAGTTTTAAGAACAAACCCAACCACCTCACTGCACTTGAAATACCCCTGGCATTTACATGTGCATGTTCCCGATTTTTCCACACTTTGTTTTTCACTGCATTCTTTCACATTTTGCATGTTGGGATGTTCTGTTTTCCTGCAAGACAAACAGATGATCGAAGATGACCCCTCTCGCCGCATGATGCTCAAGAATGTGTGGTTGTTTTTTTTTTTCTCTGACCTGATTCCTATAAATATTTGGCCGACAGCACGATCAGCCCTTTAGCAAAACCCGTGCAAGGGAGAGAGCAAGTGACATGCCATGGTCACACAATGAAATACAGTTTGACCATCATCACTTGTTGATCCAGAGTACTTCTACAAACTCATGTGTCTCATTACGAAAAGGTCATGTTTAAAAAGAAGTCTTGTGAGTTGCGGTCAGCAGTATTTTAAGTAGTCAGCATTGGATCGAGGTCAGCTTTAGTTTGCTAATGTACAGCGTCTGCAGGAGCTGAGGTAGCAGCACATGTCTGCAAGCAAAGCCGATAAGTGTACTTTATGTTCCCAGCTGTAGAAATATCAGCACTCTTTAGCACCTCCCTAAACCACCACACATGCAAGTAATGCTGTTCCTGTTTTTACTGAACAGATGACTGACCCATAAGAGGAAGTTACACACCCTGGACTTCCAAACCACGTCATCTGTCTCTCACTCTTTGCTATCTACTTGAAGTGATGACATAGGGCGTGCGCACAGTAACCAAGCACAATAATCCAAAACAAGAAGCACTTTTTAAAACTTATTTTCGGAATTACAATACCAGAGTTTCCATCAAAGGTCAATTTCCAGGATTTTTGTTTCAATGACTTCTTTGAAAAAAGATTTTTTTTAAAACATTGCTGTTCAAAAGAATTGTGGATTTGGAAAGCAGAACTCATTTTTATTGTTTATCAGCCTCATTGATCATCTTATACATCTTTTAGTGGGGTTTATCATTGTTGTGTAAAGCACTATACATTGTGCTACATATGAATACTGCTTTATAAATAAACTTGCCTTGCTTTTTAGTCCGTGACTGTCAATATCAGCACATGACTCTTAATGTGGAACAGTTTTAGATCTTAAATGCTCAGCCGTGACCAGCATGGAGGGTTTAGTAATGGGCAAAAGAAGTCCTCTTTCAGAGATCAGCACATGGACTCAAACTTTGGTTTTGCACCGTCCAAATCTGTCCTCTCTGCACATTTTGGACTTTGATATGTACATTTTGGCAGGGCCGACTGAGTTTATATAAACTGGGTCAATATGTCTGACTTATGTTGCAAAGCAGGGGTATATTAAATGTCCGTTGAGTGCCCCCACACAGCTGAACAAAACCTGGACCTGTTTGTGGGTCAGTCTTTACGTAATGTACTGCTTCCATGTGACTCTACAACAATACAATGTATACTGTAATACGCCATATTGCTGATAACCTTTTTACACACTTTTCACTTGTGCTGCAATATGAGCTCTCTGGATTTGTATCAACATATTTTTAATTGATTTGTATAGATATTGTGTCTTTGCAGGGTAAATATGACAATAAAGCTCAAACAAGTTTTCAATGATCATTGTAGTTTTTTGTCATCATGTAGAAAATATACCATTTTGATCAAGTTTGAACTTTTCTGTATGTTTCAATCAGTCAGTACATACATTGAACATTTTGTAGAAAAAGCTTCCTCAGTTTTCTTTTCTTGTCAGGATATGGAAAATTACACTGAAAAGGGACTTGTGGGGGGTGCAGTGGTCATCCTTTGTTTTGTGTTAAAGAAAGAACAGCCCCTGCAGATAGACCAGCAGGAGATGTTAGGGGGGGAGGGGAGCACTTCCACTGAATTCAGAGCTGAAAGAGTGCTGGCATCTGGCCATCGACTGCCAACTATTCAAGTCATGGGATACGCTGTGCTGGACTGTTTGAACTTTGATGAAACAGAGCAGAACTGTTTGTGAGCGGAGCTGTCTATGAGCTGAACATCACAGCCACACTCAGGTTACCCTGTGTGTTTTTATAGATGGAGGTTTGTTTTTAGTAACGGCTGAGAATAAGGGAACGTTTAAGCATGGGTAGCTGCTTGTGTAAAAGACATGATTGCACTAATTCTAAGCACAAAAACAATCCATGCGAGAAATTTCAGCACAGTATCTGTTAAGAAGCTCGAGTGGAACTGTGGAAGAGGATGCATGAACAACCTCATCCTGCAAAAAACATCCTAATCCCCAAATTTTTGACTGTGCAGACGCCTATTTTTTCCACATTCACATTGTACTTGCAAAAGCATATGATAAAAAAGCTCTAAAAACATTGTGTCGTGCATCTTTCTTTCTCCTTTTATTCATTCAGCCTTTATCCTCCTCACTGCACATCTGTTCAGCATACTCTCAATGTGCCTTTCCAACATGCCTGTGCTGCAGCGGTAAAATCAAAACTGTGTCACTGTGTCAGACATAATGGTGTGACCAATCACAGTGCAGGTAACAATGACACGCTAAGGGGGCTCTCCTATCAGCCCAATCACACCAGAAAGCTCAGCCAATCAGGACGCATCTAGTTTGGGGGCACAGCATCTGTGTGATAAACCAAACCGTCTGCAGGCTGTGGATGTAAACATGCTGCAGCTTGTTAGTCACAGCCCTGCAGACAGGGTTGGGTTCTCACATGTGTTTGCGAGAGCTGGTATAGCATGAGCACTTCCCCCTCGCGTGTAAACACAGGAGGGTTACCTTTGAGTTCTGTGTGGTAAATGAAAATTTTAATGAGATTTGGGGTTCATGTGAAAAAAATAAAGCATATTTTATATCACTAAGCCCTGTAGTAATCTCTCTGCAGGCTCACTCTTGACTAAAATCATCTAGTGCATGTTTTTTACCTATTAAATGAGTCATTCGATAGTTTTGTCCTCTTGTGACTCTTCCTCTCTTCTTTTTATTTTTCTTAACATTATTTTACATAACAATACATCTCAATTTTCCACTTTTAGCTGTTTTGCAATTTTGATCATCCCCTTGCCCATCCTAAATCATCACTTGAATACAGAGTTCCTCTTTTCTGTGTCACACTGTGGAAAGAAGAGGCAATACTGGTTTGAACTAGTATGATGTTACACAACAACGCAGCACAAGTGAGGAGAATCATTACGGTGCATCCACTTGCAGCAAAGCCACAACTTTTAAAAATGATTGATGCTCATTGCAGGTGATGTTTCCCTTGCAGCTTCACATGCTTGTTTATGTAAGATTACTTCAGCTGACAGTCATTATTTTCAAACCCATGCACAGACGTGTTCATATGTTCAGAGCTAGAGGGCATTTGCACTGCTCTGATGCCACACTGTGATCGCATGCTAACTGACTAGCATCTAAACATTGTGTTTGGCCAAGGGGGTAATTGTGCAGCTCCATTTATGAGACCCCATTTCATGTTTTCCCCCTTCTTACATAACATAGATTTTTTTTTCTCTCACTCCGCACAAGAACCACCAGGATCCAGCCTGTACATTCCGGTGGTTGTCATAGCAACAGGGCAGCATCCCTCTCTCTCCATCCTTTGTCCAGTGTCTCCCCTTCATTCAAGCTTCCCAGGCGACGGCAGTTTGGATTCTGCATGCAAATTAAAAGCCCCCCTTTAATTGAGCTTTGAAAGCGAGGAAGTGGAAGGGATTTTTTAGATGGTAACTGAATGCCATCAGGCGCTTTTCACACGTCGTAGTGAGGTGGTAAACTCCCCACATCCTGCAAATGCCGTTACAACACCAAGTGATAAATAAGGAGAAGACAACACTCAATCAGGAGCTGATTACACCGGATCTATCCAGTTTTTATAGAAACAGAAGCAAAGCTAGAGCCAGTGATTGAGATTAACAGCTTTCACTGTCTTTCAGATATCTCCTTTCGGTAATGTTTGGATCAAAAGGATATTAAAAAGACAGGCAAAGGTGGGTGGGTTTTGGGAGGGAACACAGTGTTCCCATTTGCCTCTGGGTGTGTGTGAAGTTTTGCTGGGTATGACAGACTGTAACACAGTATGTGGGTCAGATTAATTTTCCTGTAACCGTGCTTGGCATGCAATAAATTCAAGTCTTGAATGTGTTGTCTCTGTCAGGGTTTCGTTTTGATTCCTTTTTTCCTGAAGAAAAGCAAGATAGCACTCTGTGGAGGTTTAATTTAGTGTCTTGGCACTATTTTGTGGCCGTTTTGCGAAACAGTTGAAGTATGTGGGCTGAAACAAGCATGCACGCTAAATATTTGTGCCAGATTAAGCCAGTTGTTTTTCTGTTCACTTCCTAGAACACTTGAAGGCATTATTGTCGTTGCATAAAAGTTCAACTTTGCATGCTGTTTTTGATTCCTAAAATCCGAAAAACACTCAATGAACCCTGAACAGAGCAAAGTTTTAAGGCCAGAGAGCCGGCAGATATGAACCCAAAAAATAAGCAACCAAAACAAACTTAGAGTACATGTGCTGGCATCAGGTCTCTGAAACAGGAATAAACTTGTCTCAACTTTACAGGGTCTGTCTGAGCTGAGCCAGCTTCTGCTGTTGATGCAGATGGGAAATAGGGCAAAGGTCCCACAGCAAAGTTGTTTCCCTTCCCCCTTAGCAGGGAGAGTACAGCAGAAGTAAATGTTGACGTTCAATGACACTACTTGTGAACCGTAACTGAAATGTCTCTTTGTGTTCTTGTCTCTCTGACAGACGAGACACCTCCTTCATCTGCTATATATCTGTGACATTTCCTACTGTAAGTCTGAACTCTCTCCTATAGACAGCTTTGACTTGAAAACTGCTGAGTCAGCAGTTATGACCAGCATAGTGTTTTGTCACAAACACCAGAGAGAGGAATGTGTAGCCTCAGACATTTGAGAAAACTTAGCATAAGCACTTTACCCCTTAATCCAACTCAACTTACACTATGTCTCCATTAAACCATTTCTTGTAGGAAACTGTGAAATCAACTGGGCTGAACCTGTATAACAAACATAGTGGACAGGCTGATGTTTCAACATGTCGGTGTTGTTTGTTTACTAGTTTGTAACAGGATTCGGACAGGTTAAGGCTGAATCATCATTATAAGCGAGCACTTCTGGCAGTCTAAAACGTAAACACCAGTTTCCAGGTATGTCCCACAGGGTCCAAAAGCCCAGCCTTCACTGAGCCGCTGTTTACATCCTGCCAAGATATCACCTTCTCAAACATCAAAACATTGGCATCAGTATAGCACACTGAGACAGCCTTTACTGGAGGAACCTGAAGGTTCAGCTCATTCTGTGATTTTGAGTGTTTACTGCTCACAGCACTCTGCCATGTCACCAGCTGTTTGAACAGCTTTTACAAGAGGGAGTGTTTATGCATTTAGGATGGAGAACAGGCTGAAACGGCCCTGCAGACAACTGAAGTATTTCTGTTTATAATTTAATTATTGTACTTGTGAAATGACAGGGTTGTTGTTAAGTTGTAATAATTACAGACCGGGTGTATGCCTTTAAAACCATTAAGCAACTAGCTGAAGAACTGAAACCCAGACTCCAAATTTTGGACTTCTGAGTCATTAAGTCGTGGCTAAACTGATAACAAGCTGGTGCTTCTTGGCAGGCAGAAGAGACAATGTGCTGCGACCTAATTTTAGGAAAGCCACTCATTTGTCTTCTTATTAAGAGTTGAATGAGTATAAGAATACTATTTCTGTTTGTCTGGTAACATACAGCCCTGAGGACCCTAGTGTAGCTCTGTATGGGGATGACAACACTAAACCAGCTAAGTGTAAGATGTGAGAAAGTTAGCATGTGACGTGTAGTTACCATGTTCTGTTGCTATGATAGAGGTCTGTACTAGAAGATAACAAGCGGTCTGTACTAAAAGATAACAAGCTGAAGCTTCATGCCTCATTTTGGCTGAATTGCTGCTACATCAGCTCCTCCTTCAAAGTCAAGAGTCGCACAGACATGTTGTGATAAAAATAAAAGTTTTAAATGTATCAATAAAAAACACCAGGTTCAGTAAACATGATGTTTTACCAAATCAGGTGCATTACAATATCGCAGTTAACAAAAGGATAAAACTCCTTGAGGAAATCTACAAATGGCATTATGGACATATCAACCACATTTGAACAAAATACATCTGGGTACAGACATCTACAAATTGTACCACACAAGTTGACCCAGTGTGTCAAAAAAAAAAAAAAAATCTGAAGACATCAAACGTTGCCATTTAAAAATAGACACTTCATAAAATCAAAAGAATTAGTAACATTGAAGACTGGACAGTTGAAAAAGGCAGGTTCACATATATTAACAGTACATGAACTAGTCAAATTTATTAAAGTTAAACATGCTGCCCAGCCTCAGCAGCTCTAGTCTTCAGTGTCCGTGTGCTTTAGTTCATTTTAGTCACCAACAGACGAAAAGGGAAAGATATGACATGGGCTATAAAACAGTGTTACAAAAGTCAATCCCTTCTCTAAAGACAAGGGAAAAGACGTACCCTGCCATACCGGCTCGTAGCTACCACAGATATTACCTTGTCATGGTTTTAAGTTGCCCATCCAACCATTAAAATGCAGGTTAAAATCATCTCAGTGGGAGAGAGAAAAAAATACAGTACTAGCTTAAAGTAAAGAAAGTCAAGAGGGCAGTGGGAGTCAGTCTATGAGTTGCAGGTCTAGTATTCCGTGGGCTCATCTCCCTCTTCACTCAGCAAACAGGTGCGGATCAGGGCTTCGGTCACGCCGTACGGGTCACAGTTGGCAGATGGACGGCGGTCCTCGAAGTAACCCTTCTTCTCCTGGCCGACGCTGCGAGGAATGCGGATGCTGGCGCCGCGGTTGGCGACACCAGCAGAGAACTCGTTGATGTTTGAGGTCTCATGGTGGCCGGTGAGACGGCGGGCGTTGTCCAGGCCCCCTTTGGGATCATAGGCACGGATGTGGTAGCGGTGCCTCTTCCCCAGCTTCTCAATTGAGTCTTCGATGGCCCTAAAGAACAGAATTTTCAAGATAGGTTAGAAAATTGAAAATCACTCCAGAGCTCTGAAGTTGGTCTCATGATGTTTGGACACTCACTTCAATCCACCATCGTCCCTCATCTCCTTGGTGCTGAAGTTGGTGTGGCAGCCAGCGCCGTTCCAGTTACCAGGGATCGGCTTGGGGTCAAATGAGGCGACGACACCAAAATCTTCACAAACGCGGTGCAGAAGGAAGCGTGCCAGCCACAGATGATCACCCATGTCAATTCCTTCACAGGGTCCAACCTGGAACTCCCACTAAACACGAAAAAGATCCAAATACAAGCTCAGTTTCAAAGCTGCTTACACCTTAAAAAACCTGAAAAATCCAAAATATGCATTAAGATTTTATTATAGTTATAATTCTTACCTGAGCAGGCATAACTTCTGCATTTGTACCACAGATCTTCACCCCAGCATACAGACATGCTCTGTAATGGGCCTCCACAATGTCTCTGCCATAGGCTTTGTCAGCTCCCACACCACAGTAGTATGGACCTGCAAAGATGCAAATAGTTACACAACTGCCCATGTCTCAAAGCAGGAAACGAACGCACATATAATCGTGTCCTCATTTCACCTTGTGGTCCAGGGAAACCGTTGGATGGCCAGCCAAAGGGGTGTCCATCTGTGCCCAGGATGGTGTACTCCTGCTCCATGCCAAACCAGGGATGCTGGTCCTCCACCATATCCATCACCTTCTTACATGTGATTCGAAGGTTGGTCTCTGCAGGAAAAATGTCACATTACCAACTCTGACTAATTCTGCAAACTACTGTCATCTAATTAGTAAAGCACATTATAAAAAATATAGTTTTAGGGTTCACATCACATGAAGCTATATTAAATTAAAAAGGGTTTAGTTTCAGTTTCTGCTCCACGTTTTACATGCCATTGCTTCTGGACGTGTGCATCAGTGTGCATGAATGAGTGTGCAGAATGAAAGAGTGCATGCATGTGATAAGGACTGTGTATGACTGCACACCTGGTTATATGTGAAGGCATGTGTGCCATTTTTAATTATATAATAAATATCAAATACTTTAAGATTAATTTAAGTTAGAAACTTGTTTTGTATGAATATAAAATGACAAAAACAAATATGATAAGATTTATGGGCTCCCCTCTTTTCACGTATTTCATTATTTCATACAGTACAGGTTTCCTTGGGTTCTTAGCCTCTTAGTTACCTGCAGGTTTGCCGTTGTACTTCAGCACCTCACACAGGACCAGCTTGTTGGGGTCTTTGCGGAATGGATCACGAAACATGGCAGAAGGAATCAAGTACATGTCGCTGTTTGAGCCCTCAGCCTGGTAAGTACTGGAGCCATCAAAGTTCCACTCAGGTAGCTCTGCAAAGTGAGGAGGGAAATGAGCAGGGTGGATGAATTAACCTACACTGCATGAGTTTGTTAGAAAGCGTTAGGGAAGACTCAGGAGGTTAATTACCTTCGACGCTTTTGGGCTCAGAATCCAGCGTCCTGGTTTTGCACCGGAGCCCCTCCCCGGTGCCATCAATCCAAATATACATGGCCTGAACTTTATCTCCCTGAGGGAGGTCCATGTACTGCTGCTTGACAGCTTTACTTAACGTGGCGCTGGCGGATGTGGCCATCTTATTTCCTACTATAACACACCTGAGAATAAGCAGAGGAGAGGAGAGCAGGTAAGAGACCGCGGTGCGCTCTGGACCACATGTTGCGTAACAGGCGATGGGGGCGCAAAAAACACAAAAACATCACCATTGTCTTCCTCTTCCAGAAAAAAGAAGGCATGAAAAACACGTTGAGGATGCAAAAGGAGCACATATCCAGTTGTTTCCTCACTCTCAGGTTTTTGGAAACAAAGGAAACAACACTTGCTGCCGTCTGATATTTGATTTTGTACAAGATGTTTTATTTTCAGAGAGCTCATTTAAGAAGGCTCTTCTGCAAGCAAATGTGAGGCATAAAGCACACAATGACTCACAACTCTTACAAAACCACATCCTCACACTCATCCTTTTACAAATAATCCCTGTTGTTGTAGTCATGGTTACAATAGTTGACTACCAGAGACAGGCAACATTACATCACTGGCTTCCCCGTTGAAATCTATAACTCACAGCCTAAAACTACAGATAAGACTGAAGACTTCAAATAAAGTAAAACAAGAGCAGGAACATCTGAAGATGAAAAAATACCTGGAGTAAAAAGGAATCAATTATTCAAGTCTGGAACAAAAAGTACTCCTGGGTTACTGTGGTTAAGTTAAATCAGGGAGGAAAAGCAGAGAAGGAGAAGAAGAAGAAAAGTTACCTGGAGAAACGAGGAAATTGAAATAAAAACTAAAGGACAGACAGGTCCAGTGTCTTCTTGTCTGGTGTCTCGCTAGTGCCTCTCTCATTCTCTGGTACCGGAGCCCCGGGTCTGGGGACATTTATAAGAACAGGAACTGGGATGTCGCATCTTTGATTGGTCGAAGAGGCGGCACCACGTTTACTCCAAGGTGATTGAAGGCACATGCAGCCCGATCATTGGATGGGCAGCAGGACGGAGCAGCAACGCCCTCTATAGCAGCATCTCGGCGGCCGCGTGTGTTACCATGCGCGAGCGATCAGGCATCCTCCTCATCCTCACATGTAGCCTGAGAAATAGACAGAAAAAAACCCATAATCTTTAAACAACAATATTATTCTGATGTAGATTGATCACAAAAAGAGGAAAATTAGCCCCAATCTATTGTAAGAAAAAGGCTCATTATCTCCACCTCTGGTATAAAGGAGGTAGTCCTTTTAGTGCAAGGCGCCACCATGTGGTAGAAAGAAATCACTGGTTAAACTGGTTTTGATGAAAGAGATTATGTAATCCCACTAAAGAAACAACGTCTGGTGTTGGTTTTCCTCGGATTCCCACGTGAGTGAAGTATGTGTACCCTCAAAAACAGTATAATCAAATTCAACACAGACCTACAATGTAAAGACTGTGGGCTATGTCTTTAAACATTTAAACATTTCTCATTGATGGATTGATTTTTGTGTGGAGGTAGTGTTAGTATGAAGCATTAATAGGATATTTCTGTGCATTTTAAAGGTCACCACTCTCTTCCTTATGTTGTAAATGTAGACAGCATAGTCAGGCCTACACTTCTCACAGAAACACAACGGGTAGCTACACTGGAGTTTTAATGTGAAGATAGCTACTTAGCCTAATTGAGCTACATGGATCTTGTTTATTGTAAGCTTTAAACCATTAACCTTTAGAAAAACCTTCTGAACATCAAATTTATCTTGAGTGTTGACCGGATAAACTGTCTGATACACCTTTGCACACCTTGATACTACTCTGTTAATCTTTTTACAGCTAGTCTCAATGCTAATGCTAAACAAACAGCTAACAGCCAGGTAGGCCTACCTTCATGAGTCAGGTTATAGTCATTTTTAGCAGCTAACTTCAACTGAAGATAGCTCTAATGCAACCCAGTTCATATTCAACTTACATGAAGCTTTGACAGTTTGAGTATTTTGTTGACATGATCAACTAGGTGATAATTGGTTGTTGAAGTTGTTGTGGGTGTTGTTGTTGGTGTACTGGAGTGCATTATGGGCCTATTGTAATCTGTTCTTAATATTTTGCTCCCCCCATGTTGGTTATCAATGAAGTAGAAAAAATATAAGGAACACCTTACAACAGAACACACTTCATTACAGCTAACAGACAGGTAGACCTACCATCATGAGTCAGGTTATGGTCATTTTTAGCAGCTAACCTCTACTTAAGGTAGTTTTAATGCTACCCAGTTCATATTCAACTTACATGAAGCTTTGACAGTTTTAGTGTATATATTTTTTTGACATGATCAAGTAGGTGAGAATTGGTTGTTGAAGTTGTAGTGGGTGTTGTTGGTGTACTGGAGTGCATTATGGGCCTATTGAAAGGTCTTCTTAATATTTTGCTCCCCTCATGTTGGTTATCAATGAGGTAGAAAAAACATTAGGAACACCCAAGGAGAACACACTCCATTACACCACTGTGACCTTTGCCATTGCATAGTAGTATCTGATACTCAGAAATGTTAACAAGACAGCATTTGGCCTTAAATGAATCAAGCCTAGACTTGCAGCATTGGGTGTCTTAAAAAGTTGTAAGGCCAACAGCGCTCATAACAGCTTCAAGTCTCTGTAATATAAACTTAAGTGGAGAGATGATCAACATTTTTCAAACACATGCTTCCTCGTGTCTTATTAGATCACATAATTGTGGAGAATATTTTGTAACACATTTGCCCACCACACATTGGTCTCTTAATGATCTGAATGACTGTGGTGGCCATGGCAGATGACACACTATTTTTAAAGTCGTCCTAGAGGGGACCGTTTCCATCAGGAGTAAAAATAACTTACAACAATGGAATAATTGGGCAGTGCTGAGCCGGCCCTCTCAGGGTATGAGTTAGCTTTTAGATTCTGCTGCTTTGGTGCAGAGGTGACGCAACTCAGACCAAATAATAACCTACTGCTTTATCTTGTGCTTATGCTTTCCCAGGTTTGATAGTGCAAATAAGTTATTTGGAATTTTCAAGGTAATCTAATATGACCTCAGAGCTTAAGAACGTAGTATCAGTGCCCCCAGGCTTATTCTTCAAGGCACACACTGACCTTGTGGCATTAAGCCTAATAGGCGGCGGTTAAGTAAGGGTGGTGTTACAGGGAGGCAAGAATGAACAGGTTTGTTGTTGTTGTTACCCTGGAAAAGGATTAGGAGAGACTGTGGAAAAAAAGGTGCACACCAGGGTTAGGTTGGTGGAGGCAAACAGAGACATTGTGAAATGATACAAAGAAAATGGTTCATAAGATTGGTGTCAGCATGTTCATGAAAATAGCACCTGTCACCTTCGGGAACTGAGAAACCCTCCCTCACTGGTATTTCCAGTATCCTGTCCAATTTAGTACAATGTAAAGCAACAGAGGGGGCTTCTCACCTCTGCGTCTGTTTCATAAAGAAAATCTTTCCTTTAGTTCACCTTCTGATGAGCTGGCCAGTGTTATGTATACAGCAGGAATATAACAGGCTCGAGGTTTTGACCAAGTGTACTGATGTTGTGAACTCTTGAGGACCATACTGACCCATAGCTGTTCACATGTAGCTTGTCAACCTTCAGCCTTCTGGCAAAGTTGTGCCCTTGATCAAGGTCAATTCAAAGTGTGCCAAGTGAACCAATACCTAAGCAGCAGTATAAACATTGAAAACCTTCTCAGCTTAAAAAACCTTGGCCTGAAATGGTTCTCCATTTATTTTGTGCCATTATGACGACCTCTTTTGCTTTAACCTAAAACCTTTTTGACTGTATTTTACCGGAATAACAACAGTTTTCTTGCCTACTTCAAACTGAGTTGCTCTCTGCTACTTTTGTGCTTTGCAGTTAAGTGGATGTACAGCACCACCTGATGGACTCAGAGCTACTAAGCAGCAGATGAAGATGACGAGAGGCCAACACTGAACCATGAGGTTATATCATGTCTTTTGGAGGGCCTGGGGGGTGCGGTTTCCGCTACCTGTTTTATTAGGGGAGGTAAGCTGAAAATACATAATCCTTTTCAAATGTTTACTTCATTTTTAGTTGGAATTAAACTGGTTAAGGTGTTTGGAATTTTTTTTAAATAGCTGGTTGAAAAAACCCTTACCTGATTGCCTCAGACAAGGCGATCTTCATCAGATGATCCTGACTTCAGGTTAGGGTTAGGGACAAAAATTCTTTGTCTGCAGAATAAACTAAACAAAACCTTGATAATATGTTCAAATTCAATATCATGACACCAGGATGTGTTTTACTTTTTCTCTTCATTTAAGGATATATATACACGGCATTCTACATAAATGAAGCAAATTTAATGAACACAAATTAATACTCCAAAGCTTACTAGTGTCACATCATAATAATCCTACCTCCATCTCTGCACAAAGTCAAACACAGTCTTTCAGAAGCTTTTTTTTTTTAACCTTACTTCAGAATCTTCCACAGTTGCCATGGAGATGAGGGTATGCTAACAGAGACAGAGAGAGAACAGAGACATATGACAATTTGCCCTTCATTTATGACCCACCTGCTGTAATGTGTCCAAAAAGTCAACCTTGAAAGTGAAAGGCAGTGAAAGCTCCACAAAAAGCACCATGGCACACTCAGAGATCGAATTACTATTTAGCGTGGTTAAATGAGAAACATGGATTGTGAATGGAAATGCAACATGGTCATATGATTTTTGTCTGATCACCTAAAAATGAACAAATAAACATTGATTTTTAAAAATATAAATAAGCTGAGCCTTTATTTTGAACCTAATGTTGATTTTTTTAACCCAGAGCTCAGAGCTGCCACATAAGTAGAACAAATCCACCCATCTAACATCTTAATGCTCAAAAACATACGAATAAATCTTGTGGATTTAGTTTCTGAAAGTGTCAGGATATGTTCCAGGTGGACGATGAAATCACAGCCGCGCAAACATGTCGCTCTGAGACAAAACATGTTTAGTTTTCACAGCTTCATCATCATCACATTTGCCTGAGGACACTGTGCAAGCTGCTCCACCAGTCTGTCAATAGTTTCAGCGCAGAGAGAGGAAAGGATTAGTAACCAAAAAAAACACGACTCCACTGTCTCAGTACAACAGCATGAATGGATTTGGAGGGTTCTCACTTGTTAACTTAAAGTGTGAGGAAAAATTCTTGTAGGTTAAGCACTCCCAGACTTTTTTCCTGGGTGATATTTGAGTGAAATTATAATGGTTTTCCTTGAAATTGATGTGTTGAAAGAGGAGGAAATAGGCAAGCGTACAAGGATGTGAGTGACTCTTACTAGAGCCAAACTGTGGTGCTCAGGTGACTAGATCAGGGCTTCTCGAAAACAGCAGCTCTAGTGGGGTGATTTCAGTCTGCAGTGGTCAGTACCTACCAAAAGTGGTCCAACGAAGGAAAGCCAATGACCCATTGTCAGGGTCATGCATGGCTTAGACAGTAATGTTTGTGGGAGGAAAGGTTGGCTGATCCAACAGAGCTCAAACTGCTGAAAAAGTTCAGATAGACAGGTGTCAGAAAACACACTGCACCGCAGTTTAGCTGAAAGGAAATGGCCTCAGGAGCAAAGGGAGCTTGAGGTGTTGACTTGGTCTCGATATTCTCCTCATCTCAGTCCAGTTGAGCACCTGTTGGATGTGGTGGACCATTAAAGTTCCACCTCACATCTTCCAGGACCCAAACAAGATGCTCCTGACATTTGCACTTCTCAAGACTGGTGGTTGCTGCTTTATGTTTACGTATTTGGATTTAATTTTAAAGCACACATATGAAACTATAAAAAAGATTTGACATTTTTTATATTTTTTTAAGTAAAAAAGCAAAGTGACTGACTATTGTTTGTAAAAATTTTAGAATTATATGAACTTTTTTTCATTTTCATTCCAGACTAAGATGTAGTCTTGACTTCATACTCCAAATTACATTTAGCCGAAAGCACTAAAACCCAACCACTAAGACCCATGTGTTCACATCAGTCTTTAAGTTTGTTCTGATTACCTTCTTTTCTGATAGAAACATCATGTCACAAAGATAATTTTTGACCAAACAGCATTTCTTATGTTTTTTTAATTTTATTTTCCGCATCATAACAGAAAGCAGAATTATACAAATCTATAAGAATAAAGGAATTCAGCCCCGTTAGTGTGACTGTTTTCTGCCAAATTTAATTATATGTTTTTCATAATATGATACAGTTTTGGGGTTTGAACTGTTTCAAAGTGGCAGTTTACGGTAAAATGTCATCAACAGGATAATCAGGTTTGTGCACTTACGTCTTACGCAGTTCTAAGATTGTTTTTCGATTCGTAGATACTCTTAGGTCTGTTACATGCTGTGCTGGAGACATTCCCACTGTAACACATGACTGCAGAGTGTTGGACCTGCTGATACTCTGAGAACCTGATGTGACTGTCTTATCAGTTCGATGATACTCTTTCTTTAACTGAACTGATGTGAGTAGAAGGTGTTCCTCTGCATGGACATGCCGTGATTCTTTCTGTCTCTTCTTATCACAGTGATTATCCCGATGCAGATAAAACATATCAAAGCAAATGAAATGAGCCTCTCCCTTGGGCCAAAGGGCACTGGGGAATGATACAGCATTTACAATTTTACCAACAACGAAAAAACTGCAGAGAATGGGCTGTTACATTAGAGATGTTTGGGGACATGTTTGAAGTGTGGAGAAAGTCAGTGGTTTAATTATGGGCTCCGTGCTCAGGGGTGAGGTGGGCGCCCTGGGTTTACATCTGACCCATGTTTCCTTGTTACATGTCACTCCCCACTCTGTTTTCCTAGATTCTGAATCTATCTGCTGTCCTGTCCTCTGAATAAAAGCATGAACCCCCCCAAAACAATCTTTGAATACATATTTAAAGTCTTTCAATCAATGTAAATGTTTTGCGCAGATTTAAATAGAAAAAAATACATACATGTAACTGCTTTTTCCTTGGATCAGTGTCACACCAAAAGCACAGTCTAACCCTCAAGCTAGGGAGTAGGTTATGTATTCCTGATCATTCAAAACAGCAGTGAACTGGCAGAAACTTTGCACTTGATGGGATAGAGTAGTTATCCACAACAGTAGAGTTCAGCTTAAGAATGTCGTTAGGATTGTGACATGTGAGTAAACAAAATTTAATTGATTTACAATAAGCAGTCAGTTCTTTTTAAATCGGTGTGTTTTTGCTAAAGATGCTGGATGTCAGAGCTGACCTTAACTCAGTATGGAACATTACAGTAAACTACAATACTAAAAATACTGCAGTAGTAGATCGGTGATGTTGGTGTTCTTGGTGTTGGCACAATATGGCAATCTGAATTCAAAGAGAAAAATTAGACCTACATGCATGAGTCTAGACCCTAACTGCAGAATAAAATTCTACCTACATGACAAAAAGCTAAACCACTGTATATCATGACTTCAGTTTATTTTGGTAGTTTCAGCAGGTGCAGCAGAGATTAGTTACCAAGCCTATTGCCCTTACTATTAGTTGATAAGACCCTACCCCCTTAAATATAAGTTTGATATGTTTTCAAGTCAAACATTCATAAAAAATGATTGACTGAGATTGCAGAAATGTACTATATGATAAGACAGAGATTTTGTTATTGACATTAATGATATACTCCATTAGGGGGCAGCAGCTACCAATACACTGGTACTTGATTTTGGAGAACATATCCATGGTTCCTTTTTTAAACAACTGACTGAATCTAGTGACATTTTCTCCTCAACATACAGAGTTTCTGAATTGGACTCCACTTTCTTTAAAAGCAAAAAATAGCAATGTCAAATAAAACACACAGACACTCTTTAGAGCGTTGTTATTTTAATATCAACATAAAAAATATTAAAATGATTCACCATACACTTGATTTGATATAAGGCCTGTAGAGATGAATACAGTGAAAGTATGAGGCACTGGGGAGCTGTTTTTAGCAGTAATGTCATTAAAGATTTTGAAAAGACAGAAACAAATCACGGATGGTTTTGGTCATGTGACTCATTCAGAGGAGCTGTTCATTCTTTGTTAAGGATTTCACCTCAAACTCTCTCTCTCTCCTGTCTCTAAATCTCACCCCATGGTTCTTGCGCAGATGTTGATGAATAACCCTCCACACATCTTACACCTTCACCCCACTCAACCTTTTAACAATTAGGCCCCTAACCCTTGTGATCCCTCGGCTGTTATATATCATCATGTCCTCTAGAAACCACAGGACAACACTCTACCTTAAAAATTAATAAGCCTGACAACATACTTGTGGCTATTTCAATGCCCAGCATGTCCTCTGTGACTCATCGGTTCAGCTGTAAATCAGGCCAGGAGGAGCCTCCAGGGACTGTGTTCCTCTAAAGCTCCTTCAAAACACTTTACATGAAGAGTCAATAACCAAACACTTTGCAATAACACTTATTGGCACAGCAGCATGACATACTATCGATTGTTCAAATGAAAACCGGCAGGAGTTGAAGCGGCCGTGAGGATTGTTGTCGTCGTGTGATTTTTGTCTGTATTCTCTCTGCGGTATCAGGGAGGCTGAAGGCAGAGCAGCGTGAGGCATCATGGGTTATATTTAATCCAGCCCTGCTCCTCTTTGGGATAATAACTTTTTTGCTCCATTCCAGGACTTGTCTGTCATCTTGACATGGCAATATCTCCCAACTCCACTGTTTCATAGTCAGTTTCATTTACTTCCAAATACCATTTCACACCCTGCTGGCTTTAACTAGGTATTATACAGCGTGTGGGGAGTGTGCTGCAGATTGAATCGTGACAGAGACAACAGCGTTCTGGTGAAAAATAAGTGAATATTGTAAGTGGCAGACTATAGAAAATGATTTTTCGCTCCATTTTCTTGGCATGAATTTGTGCGTTTGTCACTCCAGTTTCTCAAATACAGAAGAAATATCTATGGCTGATAAAATTTGGTGCCTCTATTGTGTGTTTCATTTTCAAATCAAGATTTTTATTCAAACAGAGAACAGTTAAACATCAGATCCTCTGGACGTGTTAGAATCTTATGATATACTGTATTATAATAAGAAAATTATATTGTTTTAACAAATTGTCAGTTTCTTAAATTTCACTTTCAGATGGACCAGTTCTCAACTGTGCACTGAGGTTAGCGCAGCAGGAAAACTATAGGTGTACAACATGTTTTCTCAAATTCGACCTCTTAAAAACAACAGTGACGTTAGTACTTTCAGTGCTGCTGAGTTTATTCTGTAACCTTTTTTTTATACCTTTTTCTTAAAAGGTCCTGTGTTAGAATTTCCCAATGTTCATTATTTTATGTAGGTTAAACGGTCCTGGCTCTGATTTGAGTTGGCCATTTTTAAGCATTTCCATAAATACAAAAGACATTTAACAACTGTAGCACAGCACATGACCAGAAGGAAGCAGGTAGAAGACAAGGCTTATTTTACCTGCCTGTAATGTAATATCATTACCTGCATGGGAGACTGTTGAGGCTCAGGAAAACATCCACTTGGCAGTCCTTCACAGTCATACGACATAAGTCTTTGCTTCAATTTAGAGAAAAGCAATGCCTCTGCCTCAACATGTCCACTACCTGCAACAATGACATGCCTTCTAAAAGAATATCACAGCATGTGCTGGTGAACAGAAATGGCTGCTGGAATCTCCTTTGGGAGTACTTTGCACACAGAGACTACTCTAATGGCGGTGAACCAACTGACTCATCAAACGCTGTGCGCAATGATGCTACAAGGAGGAAACAAACCTTGCAAAGTACCTCGGTGACAGACAACTAGACCTTTGCAGTGAGTATAGAATGTGATGTTAGTGTATAAGATATCAGGGTAACTTGTTTATAGCTGTTTTATTGTATTATATGAGATTCATAACATGCGTATCAGTAGTATGCAAGTGTCAGTCTAACCTTGTTTCTTGACAAACATGACAAGCCGGTTAGCCCCCCTGTTTAACATGTCCTTGAATCAACGCTGTAGTCATGAATTCAGGAAAATAATGCCACTTGTTGAGACACAAACACAGCCATGGAGAGAATTGAATGTTTTCATCATTATTTTAATTCCTCACCAGTCGTCCCCTTTAGGAGCCTCCATTCGGGGAGTTTGCCCCTGGATGTGTGCACTGTGATGCCAGTAGGTGGTCTTGCCCATGGCTTGGTGGTTGAGCATGGTGAAGTCCCTGCTGCCACTGCCGCTGACATATCAGAGCTGTTTATTAAGAGGATGACAACTCTATCAAGCCCCATAAGCGGGCCCTCGTGCACAGGAGTTCTTTTGTTACTTTCGGGGAGGGTGTCATCAATCTTGCTGCCATGCTACTCTCTTGAGCTGTTGATGGCAAACACGATTCCTCCCTTTCTGCCTGGCCTCTCCCGCCTCGCAGTCTGGATTCAGGCGTGGCGAAGGGGATCGGGGAGATAGGAAGACTTTCCCCGAGAGTGCGTTTTCTTGACAGGCGACAGAGCAGACCGTTTGGACACCGGGGGTGGATATATGGGACCATGTAATGAAAAGACGTTGACAGGACCTGCTTGCTCTGTAATGAAGGTCCTCTGGAGCTGTGAATGGATACACACATCTTTCACGCTTTTGTCTCCCTGCCTTTCCCACAGAATCTATCTCATCCATTTTAACCAAAAAAAGAAGGTGCAAGAGAATCATCCCTGACAACAGTGCACAGTGTTAAACATTTACATGCAGCAACGTGGTGTGAATTTTTAATGAAACAGGAACCAAGTTGATTTACACCCACGATTTGCAGCTAAACCCTCTTTTGTATCAAATGTTCGGCCTCTTTCCTCTCTCTGTCAGAGCTACTCAAGACTCAGTGTAGCTCACAGAGATGGACTATGATGTATGTACTCCACTTTAGCATTGGCTGAGGTCACAGACTCCATAAATGTCTTAGACAAGTCTGATATTTTAATCTCTTTTTAGTGAGGGGATGTTGGGCCTTTGCCCAATCAATACACAGGGCAATAGCCTTGCCAAGATATCTCGTGGTAGCTTTTCATTGTTCTGTCTGGAAGCTGAAATGTCAACCAGAATAGCTCAGCTCCAACTGAAGCTGAAATACGGCTGTCTGTAGTCAAAAACATCATTTTTTATGATCTGGAAGCTTCTGACAATAATGAACGCAGAAACTGGCGAACACAGTCTACAGATGACTCGTTTGAGGAAGAGGGGGCAGACTGACAAGTGAAATTTCCTTTTTTATTCTCAAATCAAGTCCAATCTGTTTAATTCATCAGTCAACAATAGCCCAAAAAGCTAGAGAGAGAAAAAGAGAGCGAGAGAGCTTGTGTTTGTGTGAATGTGGGGGGGCTGAGCTGCTGCCTTTGTAAGCACACGCAGCCAAAAATATCAAGACACACTCTCACATTAACATTGCTAATTTGTTTGCCAATGGTTTCCAAGGCGCTGAATAATTGGCTGTGAGATATTGTTTGTTCAGGTGTTCCGCATAATTGAATTCTGTATTGGAAATACGCTGGATGAATGTTAGAGGAATACTGAAAAGAGTCATGCACTTTGTGTTACATTTTTTCTTTGAAATGGAGCTATTGGTGTAGATTAATTCTCATCCCAACAGTGACTAGTCATGATTGCAGCACATTAATTATCTGGCTAATGTACAAAGCACACACGTTTTGAATTTTAAAACAACTTAACTCATGTTCACCCGTTTCCAATTAATGTCCTCTTGTTGAATTCCTCTTCTTTAAGATGATATGATTTCTTTGCACATGATGACCTTTTGAAGCTCACAGATTGATTTCCTTCATCCATTATTCCGCCGTAACGCTGCTTTTGTCAGTACTCTGCTTTGAGCCGCATGTTGATAAGCCCGTTGGTGTGTGTTGCTGTGTAGCTCAGCCTCATGTGCACATGTGGAAGTGATATAGCTTCCAGCTGCACACATGTGTTGACAGAGCCGGATGATGTATTTGATCATAGTTAGTTGTGAGGAGGTTCTTGCTTGGGTTTGATTCAGCTGCCTGACGCTGACCTAACGCCTGGGCTCCATCAGTCACCTTGTCCTCCCCTTGACTCCTCACCCCGTGATCCTTTCCTCCCCACCCGAAGGACTCAAGAAAAACAACCCAAGTGCTTAAGACCCTCCCTTCACTTAAGCCCCTGTCTGGACTGAAATAAATTAGATATGAAATATCAATGCTGGGTCCTCAGCTTGTTGTTTTCTCCCAGCTCCCTCCACTTTGTCTCCTCACAGTGGTGTAGCACAAAAACATTGGCTTTGGACAATCGAGCCTCAGTAGTCCCACTTCATATTTCATTCAGCCATTTATTACACAAATATATCAACAAGTAAACATGCAGTTGCACTGCTTATCGGGGTGCCCTTTGATTCGGGGTTTATAACACAGAGTAGAGTCTGCATGACCTGAAAGGATGTTACAATCCAGATCGAGCAGCTTGAGAAGCAAGAGGGGAGTTGGAATAAAACCACCCTGAGGATACAACTTGTTCTACGATCAAAAACCAGGACACTCTCTATACTAAATTCAGGTCCCATGCAGATTCACAGAATGTGTAAAAATATATTTGTTCTTTCACCTGGCGCTATGCTTTTTTTCAGACCATCTTTTCTCATATTTCCCATCCTAAGATCCTCAGATTGGCCCCTTCTTGTTGTTCTGAAGCCGAAACTATCAAGAAGCAGGGATTTTAGAGTCAAGCCTCCCAGACTCTGGGAACCTGCCAGGAGAGATGAGGGCTATAAACTACCTGTCTGCTTTAAAATCACCTTAAAACCCCACTTTAGGAATAAGTCCATAAGTCATTGCTTTTATTCATGTTTATGATGTCCATTTTAAGACTTAGTGTAATGTCAAAGGACTGTTTTTTTCCTGGTTATTTTATTCCCTTTATTTTTTATACATGCACTGTTTAGTTGTGAAGCAGCATTCAAAGCTGCTGTATAGATAAATATTTTTAAAGTTATTAAATGAAATGATAACATGGGTATAAGACAGTGGCTGACAGATATACTACTCTGGTCCCCTCACATACAAGGATGGATGTACTACTCTACTGCCAGACATGGTAAATGTTCACTGGTACAGCACTTTCAACCCTCTGCTCGACCTCAAACCAACCCTGTCCATTCTCTCTGATCCACAGCCTCCTATAAGAATAAGAAGTTATTGTGATCATATTAAAGCTCCTGTGATGAATGTTTGGGGTTGTGATGTGTTTGGCAACCCCTGTGGACAAAGACACCTTTCCGGTCTGGTCTGGTCTTTTAAAATTGGCAGTTTCTGCAATTTTTAATAGTTTTAATTAAATAACTCTGTATGTCAACATATAAACGTAGAATGTAGATTACTCTTGTAACCCATCAGGAATTACACGGACCCTCTATTTAGAGACAGTGGTGAGTTGGGCAGATCCTGGTTTTATCTTGTATGAAAGTATGAACTAATATCCCCACATGGTCGAATGCAAATTTGTTGTAAAACTTGTAAGGCTGGAAATAAGCAATAAGAAGCCCCATCGCCTTCTTTATGCTTTGATCATTAATGCTTAGTTGCCTTCTTGATGTGAGTTTCGTGAGTCTGGTGCATTTTTGCCTGCTCCTCATCACTGATTGAGGTCAGCAGCCCAAGGCTACATTAGCAGCTGCCAGCAAAATACAAACGAATCTTCGACCGCCTGGAGTTGAGTAATAAGGGTGATGCAGGCGCAAGGTTTTGATGAGAGAAGGGAAAAGTGCATAAAATTAAAGACATTAATGCCTTTGCATCAGAATTGGTGCCCTTTTTAAATCAAAACTTCTCATTCAGTATCAAAATCAGCATCAGTTCCTTCAGTGTCGTTAAAGCTCCTCTAAAGCTTCTGTTCATCAGTGCAGCATTGCTGGTTTGCGTGTTTTGTGTGTGTGTGTGTGTGCCTGTTCAACTCTGCGGTCTGATAATCAGTGACAGAGATGTTACGGGAGTGTGACAGAGTTCTATTTGCCATAACTGACATCTTCATCCCATCACTTTGCTTGTTTTGTTGCGGCTTACCTTAGTGCTGGCATCTGTGGTGTTTCCAGGCGGATACACTGCAGTGGACTGGGAATTCAGAGGATTCAGACAAGGCCACAGCCGCTCAGGCAGGTGGAGAGAATGAAGAGCTGTGTACACAAAGCAGTAGAAGAGGAGAGGGAAGGAGAAGAAAGGATTGAGGAAGAGAAAGAGAGAGAGAGACTGACTAGTTTCCCCGGAGTGGAGTGTTAAGCAGACGTGCTGTCAGAGGTCGAAGGGTTTGATTGTATCCGCCGTCGTGAGCCAAAAAGAGACAGAAAGCAGGAAAGTTCTGTAGATTACCTCAAAGAGTCGCTCCAGTAGCTCCAGCATATTTGCTTTCTTAACCAACATTATTTAGATTAAGCCTATGCAGCTTCTGATTTTGCTCTTTGAAATCCTCATTTCTACATTTGTGTTAAGTGTATTTTTCTGAGAGGGAACGAAGGAGATGTAGTAAGGAGGGATTTAAACATGAAGTCTGTTGATAAAGCAAACACCAAAGCTGGTTAGCTGTCACATTATTGATGATACAGAAAAACAGTCACTGAGACAATATTATGGCACAAAATAACACTGGGAAATGTAGTCGATCTGGGTTTATAGGAAAACCAGATTTGTAAATTAACTTCTCACTAATTTGCGGTGTTCAAATCAGCGCCCACCATTAACCATGAAAGTTACTGACAGAAACATGCAAACTCTACATCCAAACCCACTTTCACACCACGATTTTGGTCTTTTCTCTCCTCACCACCTCCCATTTGTACCTTCACACTTTATGTCTCAAATCAGAAACACGCTCTCTTGACAGACTGTGTTTGTGGTTGCAGAGGTCAGAGCTGTCAGCATACGAGACATCCATCATTATAAAACAAAAATAAATCTCACTAACAGGTTGTTAGCACAACATCAGCATGTGTGTTTAGGACCAAGTTGTCTTGCCACCCAGTGAGAGCGATATATAGCTAAAATGTTCTTGTCATAAAACTGAAAATAAACCTCACCTTAAGAGACCTCATTTTACATTAAATGGTAAATAATTAAACATGCTTTAAAGTGAATATACCATTCATGCTTTTCCTCCTAATTCTGTAGCTGCACACATTTACATGTTTGCATTTATCTTCTATTGCTTTTGCATCAAGCATCCCAAAAATCCAGACTTGAAGCGTCACGTATATGATGCTTGTTTTGTGTGAAACTCTATTCATATGTGCACTTGTAAATCTTGACATTATTGCAGATTTCTCCCTGTAAAGAAATCCAGCTGTCGTAACTGAATGGATGTTTAAAGGATAGAGTGTTTGTGACTCAGAGTAAAAGGAGTGTTGTGTTTCACAGGGCAGTTTGCAGAGCCTTTTCAGTTGCCAGTGGCCCATGCCGCCTAACCCCTCCCTCTCTTTGTCACTGCTGGCGCTGTACTCTGTTTTCTCCCATCACCGTGGCAACCCAGCACCGCATGCTATTGTGATGATGTTTGTCCACAGCTAAGGTGTCGCCTGTGTGTTTAATGGACCTCCCAGTCCCCTTCAGTGTCCGCATCAGAGTCCCCCCGGCAGAGCTGAGCGGCTGAGCCCTGCCACTGTTTGTCCCCGGGTGTCAGTGAGTCGAGGCTGGGTGGGGATGAGATAGGGCTGATAATGGCCGCTTTGTTCCTTTGCTAGATGTGTTGAAGCTGTGCTCCTGTGGACCAGGAGACGCCTGGTCAAACAGAGACACACAAAGGCTCTGGAAACGGCCGGCCGCGGCCCATTCTCCACAGTCTGCAGTGCTGCCAACATACAACACCTTCTGCAGCCGCGCTGAATTACTACCCTCACAACCTTTCACACATATAAAAGCACTCTTTCACTCAGTGGGAACACTGACATTTGCTTTTGTTGCGTACAAAGGATTTTTTAATACTAAGTTTTTTTTAGGTGATTACTCCGAGGCCATATACACCATTAGAATCAGTATGGGGGCTCCTTTTTGAAGGGCACTCAATTTATTCACTCGTAAAAGCCACACAGGCATTATTTGATTCAGTCTAGCTTAAGTCAGGAGTGATGCTTTTCTGTCCCCTTTGATGTGAAAGTGTTGCATTTTGTTTCTAAGATTTTACTCTCACTTGATTGATTGACAAAGTGGGAGCAAAGCAGCCCTGATGCCTTTACCAGTATCGGATAAATTACTCTCCATTATTAGGCTTTTAACATTTGCAGGTAAGATACATAGCTGCACAGAGGATAGCTGTGTTTTTTTGTAGTTTGGAGGAGATAATGATAAATTTAGCAATCAAGAACACTGAAAATCGTAGGAACGCCAAGAAATTATCTCTTGAGTAAATGTGCCACATATTCTCATCTACCGGCTGGTGTTTTAACCTCTTTAGCATAGCTCCCGGAGGAAACTGGGGATATGATTAGGAATTCGTTAGCAGGCTTCTATTTTTATGCTGATGACACACTTTCCTCTCCCGGGCTCTCCGTGTTGCTGGCTCTTGACTTTCTCACTGTCTTTTCTGAACTAGATCAGCTGTTTACCACCACGTAGAATCGTGACATGAAGATCACTGACTAAAGCAGTCTGATATCAGCCGGGGAGAGAATTCCTCTGTCATCTAAAATACATTCACCGGCCTCTTTAAACCTCTCCTTGAACACTAAGAGGTGATCTTTTTTAGCGCTCAAGCTGCACGGCGCTTACATTTCAGCAGCTGGATCTGCAGTCGCGCCACCTGCCTTGATCAATTCCTGCAAGATACAAAAAGGACGTACAAAACCAATAAAGGCTGCCGTACAATTTTGTGAAATCCCTCGTTTTTGTTCATCCTATCATGTTTGGAGCAGATTACAGTGTGGACACATATCCCACTCCCTTGGGTGCCTCCTCTGTGGTTCAGGTATTGTGACCAGGCAGGCGGGCTGGCGGCCCTGGACTCTGGGCGCTTTGGAGAAGAGAGGACAGCGGCTGCGTTTGTTTCCCAGTGAAAAGGATTACAGGTCCTGACGGCCATGATTAATCACCCAGAGGCAGACATGTGAATACGGCCAGGGAAAGGTTCAACTTTTTAATTCATCCCACACACAATCTATTCAAACCAGCTGTTGGCTTTGCTTTCCCTCATCTCCCCTCTCTTTCTTCTCAGTGACCATTGCCTTCCACTGTCTTTCTCTCCTCATTTATGGCTCACATAATTATCTGGGGAGTTGTTGTAATTGTGGGGGCGCTTGGACAACGCTCTGCGCTCTATTTTTATAGGAGATGGACTCCTTTTCTTCTTTGTGGGAGAATAGTTAATTGACTTTGTTAATGCATTTGGGGATCAGTGATTTCTCAACAACAAATGACCTTTATGGAGCTTGGCGTCACATATTGTTTGTTGTGTTTGTGTGTGCGGGTATGTGTGTGTGTTTGCGTGTGTGTTGATCCATTGTGACCTTTTCTTGTGTCAGGTGTGTATGCGCACGAGGCAGAGAAATATCTCCCTCGAAGCCTCTTTTCCAAAACACTTCAAATTCATAAACATTTCCGTGCCGCTGCCGCTGACAGACAGCTGAAATCGTGTGTTTTGAATAAATTTCACATCTCACCATGTTCATATCCACTCATATGAGCAGGCCTTCTCATTAAGACTCAGCAGGTTATACGACGGTATTGCTGGAATCCCTGGAGCAAAATGAACAGGGACAGCTACACTGCTTAATGCAAGGTAGCCTAGCAACAGATAGTGGGATGGCGGTGGAAACATACCCTCATATTTATGTTTACATGAGAGAATGATTTGTCTGTCAGGCTGATGGATCCTAATGTTCTTCTCTCCCCGGGGCTTTTCTTGTGCCGCACGCAGGCCTGACACTTACCCTGAAGGACAGGCACCACCTTCCCCAACATGCATGAATACTTAATACTGTTAGGCTGCATTTATGCAAAGAATGGAAATGGCACTAGACGAAGAGAGGTGGGGGGGGTTGGGGGTTCGAATGCATCAAAAGCATGACACAGTATACATCATGAACACGAAGAGGAGAATGACAGATAGCATAAGAAAAGACAGCAGCATGTGGTTCATTTCTGCAGTTTATCCCTCATGGTAATCGCATTGAAGTTGAGTGGAAACCAGTCCTTTCAAGGCCACTGGTGACAAAATAACCTCAAGTCACTTCCAGTAAGTACAGTATATGAGCTATATGCCTTGATAGAGTCTGTCTTTACTGTATGTCCAGCTCCTCCAGGGAAAGACTACATCAACTCAATTAGCCTGGCACAGCCTGAGTATCAGCACCATAGATTAGATTTCACTCTGCCTTGTTTACCAGAGAGCGGCCCAGAGAATAATATCTATACAATTTGTGCTTTCAGAAAACTGATGATGGTATCAAAGCGCGGAGTAGGAGATATAAGCTTCTCCCGTGGTGTTGTATAGGGGTAACTGGCTGGCAGAGATAGAAAAAAAAGCCTTTTGTCAGGAGATAGGCATATCCCTGTTCATCTTGGGAACTTGTTTCCATAGTTACATCAATGTTGTTGAAGTGAGAAGATCAGGTATTCCAGTGAGTGATCCTTTACATAGGCTTTGCTCCTCTGCTATTGATTTTCATCCCACGTTGGGAGAAAAAGCAGCCCACTGCAAACCGTCTCAGAGATATTGTAGAAGTAATGAGAGGGTGAAATGTGTCGGAAATGCGCCGGACGGGAAGAGAAAAGAAAAGCCTCTCAAAAAGCATCTGGAGATTTTGAGGTGTCATGTGTAGCTCCTCGTGGAGAAGAGGGGGGGGTCAGGTGATACTGTCAGAAACACAAAGCCCGACAGCAGCTGAGGCTAAAAACTAATCGCTGCCTCTGACAGTCGATGATTGCCGTGTTGTTAGCCACATGCTTATGTGTTCATGGGAAATCTCCACAACAGCGTGCTGCTTGCTGTAATGCTAATGGCTCTGAATGGAGAGTTAATCACTGCTGCGCGGTTAGCCACATGCTTGCCTCTTGCAGCATGGTCGGTGTGTTTCAGGGGTTAGCAAAACACTGGCGAAACACATCATCGCTCTTTATGAGGCTGGGGCCTGCAAGAGAGAGAGGGGGCCCACAGACGATGCTAAAAAGACGGTAATGACAGCCATTCACCGCAATCCAATTATGCAAAAGGGAGTCTAAACAATTCCATCATCCCCTAAATTAGATTGTCCTAACGAGATAAAGGCACCAATTAATCCTGAATTAATTTCTACAGCTCATTTTCCCCAGAAAACACTCTAATATGCAAATGCCAATGAGAGACAGAGAGGCATCCTTCTGCAGGGCTTTATACCTCCTCTGAATGTCGGCTTTTCTCGCTCACTGAACTCATGAACCTGGACATGTATTATGAAGATTAAACAAGGGAATATAACACATTCAGATTTAAGTATAGAACTGAGGGGGGATTGTTTAAGCGTAAAAGCTTATTTCACCAGATTTCATGAGCTGAATTCAACCGCTGGCTTAGATTGATTTTACAACATGCCACAAGTGGAGAGAAATGTTTGTAAAAGAAGCGCAAACTAGCTGCATTTACATCTGGTTTATCTGGTAAGGAGCTTAAGAGGTTTAGATGTCTCTCATATTGATAAAGGAGAACTGTCATATCTTGTGTCAGTATAATTAAAAACAAACAACTAATTGGGTGAATTATCAGACAATGGGCCCATAGGCACAGATACATACATGGAAAATCACTGTTAGAGAGTAATTGTTATGAACTGCTTTTGTGTCTTTGTGGCGTTGTCTCTTTATCTCTGTGTTGTCATTTTGTGTGTCTTTCTCTTCGGTTTTTGTCTCTCTGTGGTTTTGTTGCATCTCTTTAAAGGTTTTCGATTTCCTTTTGCTTGATTAAAGTTTCCATGTTTTCATTTTGAATATCTTTGTAGCTGTTTAACATGTCTGTGAAGTGTTTTTTTTATTTTGCTCTTTGGTTGTTTTGCATCTGTGTGTGGTCATTCTGTGTTTCTTCTAGTTATTTTTGTGTCTCTTTGTGGTTGTTTTGTGTTTCTTTGTGGTTTTGTCACACCTCTTTGAAGTTGTTTTTCACTTTCTTTGTGGTTGTTTTGAGTTTTTGCGCAGGCACTTTGCATCTCTTGGTTGTTGTTAAACATCTTTGTGGTTGTCTTTTTATATTTCTTTGTAGTTATTTTGTATCTATGTTTGATTTGACCACATCTGCTTGCACTTACTTGTAGCTATTTTTGTGTACCTCTTTTAGGTTTTTTTATATTTTGCGTTTTCTTTGATTGTTTGTATCTTTTTAGGGATGGGTATCTTGTGTAAAAAAGAAAAAAAAATCTGTATATTCTGAGAACTGTTCAGTAACTTATGAAAAAGTCCCCTTTTGAACTTTAATCCCCCATCTGTTTCATGGCTCACTGTAATCTTTTGGTTTGCAAGTTTGTGTGTCAAGGCTTGTACTTGACCTCACTTTTTTTTTTCTTTTTAAGAAGTTCTTTACAGACTTCTTTGACACTTGAGGCCATATTAAGTCAATTTTAACATTATAAACCTTTTCCTACCAGAGCGTCTGCAGGTTTTGGGATACCTAACTATCCCCCATGATGGTAAACTATGACTGGTCACAATATCATCCCTCCCATTCATCCCTTTCTGTTAAGCCTAAGAAGAAGGATTTTTGTAAACCATTAGGATCAATAAATCTTTCATTTCAACCAAGAAAAAAAAAAATCAAAAATTTAAAATTTGACGGCTTATTATTCCATCCAGACGATCACTTGATGATTTTTCACGTTACTTTTTCAGTCGGCAGACATCAAACAAATGCTGAAATTCGTGTAAATGGTAGATAGTCTTAAGGTTGCACACGAGCCTGCTCGCTTTAAAAAACAAAGCAATTAAAAATTTTGTTCATCATAATCATCATTATCATTTTCACACTCTTAATTGTCTCTCTGCCAGCTGTCTCAAATTGCTGTAATTGAGTGATCTGGTGCATTTTCTCAACCGAGCCTGTGATACAGCTTCCACCTCTGGAGCAAATGAGCACAGAAATCTTGGTGGGAAACTTCTTTTCAAAACACCTCTGGTTTTATAAATGAATGTTTTTAGTTTCTTAACATAAATCTACACCATCTAAAAATTAGAAATGTCCCAGTACTCCATATTTTATCCTGGAGGCTGTCTTTATGAACCTGGTTTGGGCCTTGACGTGCAGCATTTTTATCGATCGGCAGTGAGCTACTACCACCTGTGCACCCCCCAGTGATGACAGAAACAACCAGGCTGTCAGTTGCCAGGCAATATTCACAACCACTGGCCCACATCAGCTAATTACCAGCAGAAATCACGTATTGACAGATGGGCCCATGCATATTGATCGGCCTGCACTGCCACGTTCTAAATAACCAAACGCTAATGAATCATTTCCCATTTGGGAAAGAGGAGGAAAAAAAACCATGAGTCTTTTTGTCAACATCAAACCTGTAGTGCACGTAGCACAAGGTGGGAGAAATACACAAATCACAGCAAACTCTCCCAAGACTTCTTCGTATATACACACCTCTGCCTGGCTCTCCTCCTTATCTGTCTCTTTCTCACCATCTTTCTCACCTCAGCCATTCCTCTCTCCGCTCCGTGTGGCAGTTATTTTTCATCGTGGCGAGCTGGCTGAGGCAGTAAATACCCCGCTCCTCAGACTGCGGACCCAGAGTGACCCTGCAACCTCTGTGTCTCTGATGCCTCTCCCAAGGTCTCTCATTCCAAGGCCCCTGTGATGCAGCGCTCTGGTTGCAGTGCAGACCCTGTAATTCACCAGCCTGCTAGATCGCCTGCCAGCAGCTATTGATTTTTGTTTCCCCAATCTCCAGGAGAGAGGGAAAGAAAAGATTAAAAACACTTTGTCAGTTTGGTAGGGAATAAGAATTCTGCGCAGGGGGATACCTAGGAGGGCATGGGGTCAGGGCTGAGGCACTGTACGTCTTTATGGCTTTAACTATTTCTGCACCATGGACATCTCTGTCTGTGGTTCTCGCT